CTTACACTCGCTCTTCTCTCTTGTTTATCTATGTCTCTGTCACGCATACACAACTCTTCTCTCATACTCACCCCCATTTCTCTCTTTCTCTCTATTTCCATCCATGCGTATCCTAGTCTTTCATAATATCCTTGTCTACCTTTGTGATGTTCTTTCCTTGCTTCCTTTTTTTTTCCTTCCAGCTTTCATACAATATCCTACATTCCTTTCTTTCTTTCAACCTTTAATCATACTTTACATCCCTTTTCCCAGTGTATACTCTTAATTTCTCTCGTTTACATTCTTCTCTTACTATATAGCCTGGCGTCTCTTTCCGTAGCCCTAACATCCACCTCAAATATTTTTCTGATACTGCTTCAATTTCTGCATATTCCTTCCATCCCCATATCTCCACTCCATACATTAATACACTCCTAACTAAACTATCAAACATTTTCATTCTTCTTCTTACGTCATGTCCAAATATTCTCTCACCTATACTCCACACCATTCCCATTATCTGCACTGATTTGACCCTTCTTTCTCTTATGTGTGCTTTTACCGTGTTAGTTGTTGTAAACTTAAATCCTAAATATTTAAACTCCTTTACTGTATCTATGATTCGATCTTCCCAACGCCACACTTTTTCTTCCCCTTTTCTTCCTTTTTTTCTAAACACCATCATTTTTGTTTTTTCTACATTTTCAGTTTCTTTCTTTTAAAGTATTAGTAGATTTCTTTTCATCTTATTCATTCCACATTCATCCTTCGCCAATATTACCAAATCATCTGCAAATTCCAAACACCATACCTTTTCTCTCCCCACCACAATTCCTCCCGCTTGTACTCCTCTAAACATTTCCTCTATATCGCTTATGTAACAAGCAAACAGGCTGGGACTTAATGGGCATCCTTGTCTCAATCCTTTCGTCGTCCAAGACATTTCACTTTCTACTCCTCCCACTCTCACACTAGTCACTGTCTCTCTATAGATCTCTCTTGTTGCTGCAATTAAATTTCACTCAGTCCTCTTCTCTCCATGCATTCCCAGAAACACTCTCTGTCCACCGTATCAAACGCGGCTCTTAAGTCTACAAACAGTGCATATACCCGACCTCCTTCCTTTAGCAACTCTTTTTCTATTAGATGATGCAGGATATATACATTGTCCATAGCCCCTCTACTTCTTCTAAATCCCGCTTGACTTTCCGGTAATATACTCTTTTCGTTTATCTTTGTCACCAACCTTTAATTTAACACCATTGCGTACAGTTTATATGCCGTATTTAAGAGAGTTATTCCTCTATAATTCTCTACTTTTTCTTTATTACCTTTTTAATGAATTGGGCATATTTGCCCTACTCTCCACTCCCTGGGAAAACCTTTGAACGTCTCCACATCATTCATTATCTCGCTCAATCTTTTAATCATCCCCTCCGTCCCAAATATCCAGACTTCGTTTACCAACCCATCCCTCCCCGGTGCTTTTCCTCTTTTCAGTCGTCCTACTTGTTTTCCTACTTCCTCTACTCGAATCTCAGCCTCCCTTTCTCTACCACCATTCCCGCTTTTACTATCTTGCGCTACAATTCTCTCTTCCTTTCCATTCAACAGTTCCATAAAATGCTTCTTCCACTGTATTATAAGTATGTCTTCACTAATCGTGATTTTGTTCTTCCGTTCTTTATTTATATACTGCCATGCGTGTTGCTCAGTTCTTATGGCTTTAATTTTTTCTTCTTCTTCTTGCTGTATCTCTTCTTTCTTTTCTTTGCATCGTTTTCTATAATTATTTTTTGCTTGCCAGTACTCTTCTTTTATACCTTTCTCCTTTTTCCACCTTCGTAAACATTTCCTTGCTTCTCTTTTCTAAATTTCTCGTTACAATTTCTTTTCTTATGGCTGCTTTTTCAATTTCTCTTTTTAATTCTTTCATTTTCTTTTCAGTTCCTTTTTCTTTAAATTCCACTTCCAACATTTTTTTTAATAATAATGCTCAATTCCTTTTTCATTGCATACCCATATTTTCTTCTCTTTTCCTACTTCATTACTTAAGCATCCGCTCCTACTTATGCCCCTCAATTTTACTTCTAGTGGCATGTGATCGGAGTCCACTCTTTCTCCTATTTTGAATGTTTGTACCTCTTCTTCTACTAATCCGTTTACTATTACGTAGTCTATTACCTATTCCCCTCTTTTACCTATCCAGGTAAATTCCCCCTCCTCGTCCCCTTCCTTCACCCCATTCAAGACTTCCCAACCGCTTTCATCAATTAATTCCCATAGCAATTTTCCGTCTTTGTTTTCTACTTTATCTTTCGATTTTCATGTGTTTTCCCCGTCGTGTTCCCTGCTTTTGTTCCCTATTCTGGCATTAAAGTCCCCCCTGACAGTAGAAAATCTTCTTCGGACTCTTCTATTTTTTCTTGTATTTCTTGTTTCGTGTTTCTCATTCCTCTACTATACATTGTGCAGATTATCCATCTTTTTTTATTTGCAGTCAGTTTTTTTTCAACCATGCCTTCCATTTCTATCGTCCCCTCTTGTATTTCTTTTATATCTTTCTTCACTCCTGTTATGATTCCACCTTTTGCTCTACATTTGCGTTTTTCTTTTTTTGCCCCTTGCAATTTCCACTGAAATTCTTTTGGCAACACGTCTTTCAGTTTGTTCCAGTCTCTTTCTAGTATCCATGTTTCTGTTAGTTCCACAAAATCAAAATTTTTCACGTAGTCCCAAAATAAATTTTCTTTCTTTTTCAGACCAGCAATATTCCAAAAGAGTAATTTTAAACCACATTTATCTTCCCCATTATTCTTTGCCATTCCCCTATTATGTACAAAATCTACATTCTTAAACCTAAAGTCTTTATTTGTCCTATCATTACTACCACTCCTTTTTGTGTTTCTTTCTTCGGTTAGTGCTGACTTGATTTGCGAAATTTTTCTTCCAATTTTCCTTTATTGTCATTCAATGTATACATTTTGTCCCTTACTCCCAGCTTCTTATATCCCCTTGCTGTGTATCCTTTTTTTTTCTTTCCTCTTTCGCTACCTCCCTAATTCCTTTTTGAATTTGAGTGTAGTTTATGAATCCGTGCCGAGTTTTTATCCAAAAAATCAAAATTGTATAACAAAATTTTAAAATTTTAGTTTGAAATTGCTCTAAAACCTTGAAAACGTTTTATAGGGTTATCGAAAACATAGTAAATCGTTAATCAATTTATCCGTGACGTCATCTGAAAATTTTAAAAACTTTATCTAAAGTGTCTAAATATGATAAGTCCATACTTGTGATTTATCATTCCATTCATATTTCTTTTAATTACTTATATAGGGTGATTCAAAAAATTAATGAATGAGTTAAGTTATTTTATTGATCAAATCAGAAACTGGGAAACCGAATGCTTTCAAATCTTCCACACACTTTAAAGTTATCGTAAACATGATAAATTTGTAATCAAAATATATCTGCTTGTTCCCTCTAAAAAATTTATGACGTCATTTCAAAATTTTACCAAATAAATCCTATCGAAATTGTGCAAAATATGATGAGTATATACTTGTGATTTATCAATCCATTTATATTTTTTTTGAACTACTTATACACGGTGACTCAAAAAATTAACGAATGGGTCAGTTTATTTATTTAATTTTATTAATTAAATCACTTTCCCAAAATTTTGGAAATACAATACAGTTATTATCAGAATCACACTGTACCTATCCAAATTGATATAATGTGTCCTTGCAAATGACGTCATCACAAAATTTTGTAGAGCGAAAACTCATTTGAAACATGCACGTAGCACACTTCTTTACATTTACTTTAACATTACATGCACTTCTTTATTTTAACTTACAAGGGTTGTCATAAAAAAATAAAAGCTCAAAATCAAATTTTAGAATTTTTCGGACAAACTTAACAACAGTTGTTGACGGTTGTTCGCAATTTTGTTTTTATAAAAAGAGTATATAGTATGTCAAAAACAATGCTACTTAGTTATGACCTGCTCTGACTTAACCTGACCTGAGCTGACCTGACCTGACCTGACGTCTCTATTGTTTCAAATAAACAAATTTTAAACATTTCTGTGAATAAATAAAAACCAAAAAGTACATCTTTAATAATTTCTTTTTTTATTTATACAAATTTCATGCCGGGCTTTTTTGACAGGGCTATTTTGCCGGGTCACGGCCTAAGCTGGTCCCTCAAGAAGAAGGAGATGTCGAAAACTCTGGGATTAAAACTACAAAAGTTTTTCATCCCCTGTTCTTCTGTTCGTGTCTTTTTTATTATTAACATTACGCCGGAAATGTAAATATTAATAAAGGTTATTTTCTTGAAAAAAATCTCTTTAGAAAATTTTTGTCAGAGGCACTGTTACTCAGTTTTACACTCATGTTCAACCCCCCACGAACCCCCCCCCCCTCTACCCAAAATCTACAGTCGTATGCCGAATTGACTGTACTAGTATGATTAAAGTGTAATTTCAAAAAGAGAAAACTTGTATTTTTGGATTCTATAAAATGTCAACAGAACATTAAAGCGTATATTGAGTGAAGTGTATGGTTGTTTATGCTAGCTCAGTAACATGCCATCATTTAACACTTTTGAGGAGGATAAAATTTACTTTTATATTTATTTTTATTAAACTCTTTTATGTTACGTCTCAGAGTAGAATAAAGAAGTACCTATTATAGCTACGGTTTAAGTGTCTAGATCATATATAGTATGTACATAAAAAGCAGCCTGTCCATTAAAACTGGAACAGATATAAAGACCTTTCAGGAGCGAAACGTGACGAAAACGCTCGAACAGCTCGACCCAGTTTAACGCGGGCTACATTTTAAAAGCAATTTTTTAGTTAATAACGTCAAAACGATAACGTCATCGATACTATTTTTAAATGGAAACTCTTGTATGATGTATTCTTGTTACTTCTTTGCCAGAATTTGACTTAATTAAATGCCTGTCCACCATGAAGTGACGACCCTGCGTAATCAAACACTCAGCCCTACCTGACACTTTTTCTGCTCTTTATGGCACTTCGTGTGCATGTATGAGTGATTGCCGACCAAATCCAAGCATCTGTCACCATCAACCATGGTGTCGCAGCGGTAACACCACAGGTCGTGCTGTTTCTCTGTGGCTGCTTTGGTCCTATGCTGCTGCTGCTCGCTGGAGTCTGCAATCAATAATTTCCCGGTTACCACGACGACTGACGCAATTCAGCGCCTTTTACAAACACGCCGGTGCACCGACGTCAGTGGCATCTTTTTTGCAATTCATGGGTCAATTTTCCCACAAAAAATGTTAGGTAACCGTCATCAGATTCCCAGGATCATGTAAACAGCAATAAACGAAAGGACTTTCCGCGGCGAGGAAGGCGACGAGGCAGGGCCGGCTTCAGGCTAACATGCGCCCTGAGGCGGGCTGTGGAGAGTGCTCCGCGGACATGTTTTATTAAAGGTAATAAGTTTCACAAGAAACGTCTTTGACTGAAAAAATAAAGTAAGGAAATATGAAGAAATGTCACTTCAAATAGAAATCCGGTTAAAACGACTCACTTAAAAATATATAAAAACAATAAATACACAACTTATTAATTAATTAACAATTTTAAATATTTTAATAAAATATTTTCAAATTTATTTCTTAAATGTAGCTCACTCCGATATGTGAGATAATTTTGTTAAAATGTATTAAGTATTCATTTTTATACTTATATCAGGACACACTCTACAATTTCAAAATTTGTGTATTGATTAAATTAAAAACATCTTTTTTTATATATGAAACTTTTTTACCTTTTCTACCGGACTGATTTTTGTGAACTTTCTCTCTACCAAAAATTTGCCTAGTCATCCCCACTAACAGGCTTTACAGTTCCAATCTAAATTCAGAGATCTTGTTTTATAATCTTAGTAATAAAAACAAACATAAAAATTGCTATATAATTTCCCATTTTGAAATTAATTCCTAAGATTTTCCAAAAGCCATCCAGCTTATAAATAAGAATAATTTCACTTGAAATAATTGCCCCGACTTCGTTACTAAACTGGAGATTAATAATAAAACCCCGGTTTTATTAGTTCAAATTTTGTCTGACCCGGGCGTTATCGGTTGTATTTAATTCCCCGGATTTCTCAACTTCCTCCGTTATTTCTGTTAATCCCTTTGCCCCCGATCGCCTATTTTCCTGATAGCCAAAATTAAACTATCCCTTTGTGCATATTACAGTTAAAATTAAACGCTCATTGAGCAAAATTTGGAAAGCTGTCTTGAGGCGAGTTGCTAAACATAATTGTTACATTATTATCGACACTGTTTTTTAATGTCACATGCTGGTCACTTGTGTAGAGCATGTGATTGTTTGGCACAATCAGGTTATTTTATATAAAATGTCAGGCGATTTTATTTAAGAATTTTATTGTAAGTAAAAATGAGGTTAAGTTTTACTATTACATAAACTGTATGTTTATTGTCGACATACTTTCCAATGTTGACAAAAAAATTAAATTCAATTTAATGGCATTTTCTACTGAACACCCCATATGTATTTGTAGGGTTCGTACATGTACTTTACTGTCATTTTTTCAAAACAACAAAGGATTTAAAAAATTTATTGAAATACAAATGTCCCAAAAGTATGGTGAAAAATGGAGAAATCGAACAACCGAAAAATTGAAACATCGGAATATCCATAAATCGAAAAATTATCGAGAAATTTGGAAATCAAAAATTGACAAATTGAAAACTTCAAAAATCGAAAAACTGAAAAACCGAAAAATTAAAAATTCTTAAAATAAAAACGATAAGTGGAAAAAGTCAAAAATTAGAAAAATTGAAAAATTCAGACATCGAAAAATTTCCAACATTGAAATGTTGAAAAATGAGAAACCGAAAACTTTAAAAAGAAGAAATGCAAAAATTAAAAAATTCAAAAATCTAAAATTTAAAAGTTGACAAATTGTAAAACCGAGAAATCGGGAAATAAAAATCCAAAATTTAAAAAATTCGAAAACTTAAAAATCAAAACATCGAAAAATTGAGAAATTGAAAAGCTGAAAAGTCGAAAAGTCGAAAAATAGATGAACTGAGAAATCGAAACATTCAAACACCGATACATCAAAAGATCAATTAATTGAAAAGTCGAAACGTCGAAAAATCGAAAAATTTGAAAATCGAAAAATGGCAAAATTAAAAATTGAACCATCGAAAAATTTAAAATAAAAAATTGATAAATCGAACAATCTAAAAATCGAAAAACTGAACAGTTGAAAAATAGCAAAACTAAAATTCAAAAAATTTTGAAAACTGAAAAAATAAAGAACAGAAAAATTTACTACCCAGATGTCGAAAAATCGAAAGATCGTGAAATCTACACATCAAAAAACTGAAAAATCTAAAATTTAAAAATTCGAAAAATCGAAAAATGAATTCCGACATCGAAAAATTCACAAAATTGAAATGTTGAAAAATGAGAAACCGACAACTTGTAAAATTAAAAACTGAAAAATTAAAAATTAACAATTCGAAGAATTTAAAATTCAAAAATCCAGAAATCGAGAAATCAAACATTTAAAATTTAAAAAATTGAAAAATTAAAATATCGTAAAATTGAAGAATGAAAAAATCGATCAAATGGAAGGGAAACATTTTTAAATTCAAAAAACTAAATTTTTAAAGTTGAAAAATTGTAAAATAAAGAAATCGAGAAATAAAACTCCAAATTTAAAAAATCGGAGAATTGAAGTAAATTAAAAACTAAAATGACGAAAAAGTGGAGAATTTAAAAATCAAAACATCGAAAAATTAAGAAATTGAAAAGCCAAAAAGCCGAAAAGTTGAAAAATCGATAAACCGAGAAATCGAAACATTCAAACATCGACACATCAAAAGATCGAGTAACTGAAAAGTCGAAAAGTGGAAAAATCGAAAAATTGGGAAATCAAAAAAGACCAAAATCGAAAAATGGTAAACTTAAAAATTGAACCAACGAAAAATTTAAAATTAAAAACTAATAAATCGAACAATCCAAAAATTGAAAAATCAAAAAATCGAAAAACTGAACAATTGAAAAATAGCAAAACTGAAATTTGAAAAATTTAAAAACCAAAAAATTGGAAAATCGAAAAATAAAAAATTTTAAAAACCGAAAGAATGGAAAACAAAAAAATTTAATAACGAGATGTCGAAAAATAGAAAAATCGAGAAATCTAAACAGCAAAAAAACTGAAAAATCTAAAATTTAAAAATTTGAAAAACCGAAAAATTGAAAAACTAAAAACTGAAAGATTACAAATTCGAAAAATTTAAACATTAAAAAATCCAGAAATCGAGAAATCAAACATTTAACATTAAAAAAATCGAAAAATTAAAATATCGATAAATTGAAAAGTGAAAAAATCGACGAACTGAAATGGAAAAATTTTTAAATTCAAAAACCTACAACTTTAAGGTTGAAAAATCGTAAAATCGAGAAATCGAGAAATAAAAATCCAAAATTAAAAAAATCGGAAAATTGAAGTAAATTAAAAACGAAAATGACGAAAAATCGGAAAATTTAAAAATCAAAACATCGAAAAATTGAGAAATTGGAAAGCTGAAAAGCCAAAAATTCGAAAAATCGATAAACCCAGAAATCGAAACAGTCAAACATCAACACAACAAAAAGATCGAGTGATTGAAAAGTCGAAAAGTGGAAACATCTAAAAAGACCAAAATCGAAAAATCGAAAAGTCAAACATTGAACCATCGAAAAAATTAAAATTAAAAAATTGCTAAATCGAACAACCCAAAAATTGAAAAATCAAAAAATCAAAAAACTGAACAATTGAAAAATAGTAAAACCGAAATTCGAAAAATTTAAAATCCGAAAAATTAGAAAACCGAAAAATAAAAAATTTTGAAAACCGAAAAAATGAAAAATAGAAAAATATAATACCCAGATATTGAAAAAACTGAAAAATCTAAAATTTAAAAATTCGAACAATCCGAAAATAGTAATATCGAAGACCTGGAAAATCGAAAAATCTAAAAACCAAAAATTTTAAAAATTGAAAAATTAAAACATCGAAAAATTGAAAAATCTGAAATTTGAAAATTGAAACATTTAAAAATCGAATAAGTAAAAACTTGAAAAGACGAAAAATCGAAAAAATAAAGAATCAAAATTTGGAAAAATGCCAAAACTGATATATCGAAAAATTGAAGAGGCGAAAAATTGGAAAATATCAAAACTGAAAGACTGAAAAATTAAGAAATCGAAAAATAGAAAAATCGAGAATTCTAAAAGTCGAAAAACAAAAAATTTTAAAAATCCAAAAATTGAAAAATTATAAATCTGAAAAATCGCGAAATAGAGGAATTGAAAAAATGAAAAAATCGAAAACTCAAAAATTTAAAGAGTCGAGAAATTGAAAAATCGGAAAATTGAAAAATCCTAACATTGAAAATCGAAAAATTGAGTAATCGAACAATTAAAAATTGAGAAACTGAAAAATCGAAAATTTGTAAAGACTACAAAATCCTAAAGCTGAAGTATCGAAAAATTGAAATATCTAAGGTAGAAAAATCGAGAATCCGAGAGCCGAAAAATTGAAAATTAGAAAAATTGTAATATCTAAATTTCGATTTCGAGGATAAAAATTCAAAGCGGATTCATAAACCAAAAATTCAGGATAATGTTACTTTTTCACATTTATATGACATTTATACGACAAATTTGTAAGATAACCTTAAAACGATTGTAAGATTTTAACTAAACTGTAAAATGTTGTTCCATTTGTTCTTTTTTTTTTAATCTGGATAGCTAAGGTAAAACTCAACACGGATTCATAAATCACGAATTTTGACATGACGTCATTCCACTATTGGTGGGGTGAGCAGACAAATTTTCCATATTTAAAAATGGAGATTTGCATTTTGCATAAGACTTCTAACACTTCATTAACAACTTCAAATATTTCATAAATTCTGAAAAATTAAAATAAACCGCCAATGTTTTGTTAAATTTATATGTTATCAAGTTAATACATTGCGGAGTTTAAAAAAATGTAAAAATTGTTTCGAAACATTAATGACACTAAAATAAAGTAAAAAAATAAATTCCGTTTGTTTATGACTTAAATTTAAGAACGTTTTAACTTTAACCCTATACAGGTTGGTTGCATTTGTAAATTGTCAGTTTTTCATATTTTTCAAATATTTTATACAATTTTCAAACTTGACGTTAAAAGAAAATATAATAGCAAAAGAAAACTTACTCAGAGATAAGCTCCAGAATGTTATAGGTGTAAACTTGAAAACAGTAACTAAGAATTTACAAATTTTTTGAAAAATTCCAAATCTCCGTCAATAACAATTGTGAATCTGTTGATTTTGCATTATTATTATTATTATTTTTATATATATAAAGAATCTAAAACCGTCAAAATAAAGAAACTACTCCACTTTAAACATTTTATACAACATTTGTGTACATTTTAAAGTGTTTGTGAATTCCAAACCTAAATATGGTAATTTCTCTTGGACTGCGTAAATAAATGTTTTTAAAATTCCCAGATCTCTTGAGAGATCCTGCATAAATAAGCAATTGCATCTGACGCCACTGTTTATTTCGGGCACAAAAATACATCATTAATATTTCAACAGAAAATTCGAATATATCAAAGGTATCCGAGAATATGGCAAGAAATTTAAACCTAAAATGATACAAAATATTCATAACTATTCCGTACATCCAGTGACCTGCGAAATTTAAATTGTTGCAAATTTGCCACTTCTTGATAATGGTAGACATTTTTAAAGCTTTAATTAATATGGTTAATACATTATCTGTCAGAGTAATTATGACGTTTGAACTTTCGTTGCCATGGGGATGGCTAGAAGTTGCCATTTCGGATACATACTCCGAAAGAGGCGGAACAAATCAGTGCCCACTTGCATGTTGGAATCATTTATGAAAGCCTTGTATTTCTGATGAATAGAAGGGATTATATATTTTTATTTAAAATGTTCTTACACCCTAAATCAAATAATGGTTATATGTATATCGTGTTGTAGATAACTCTGGTAGATAACTTATTACATGAACAAGGTATTTAATTAATAAAAACTATGTTTGAATTAAATATCAGGTTAAAATCGTTTGTCTTTGGACAATGATTACTTTTCTGTGTTTAAATCCACAAACATTTACACAGTTTTAAAATATCGCAAAAAAAATCTGACAAATATGCGTCCGTTGGAATAAGCTCCGAGACCCCCACTCGCTCCTGCCTGAAGCCGGCCCTGCCACCGCAGTAGATGTGGATGTACTCACCTGCCACCGAGATTGCCGCGCTCAAAAAAAGAACCAAACCACCACAGCACTTGAGCAGCATCCTCAAAAAAGCCGTAATCTGCTTATCCCCGAAATTTCTTCGCGTCCGATAAACAAAACATGTTTATCAAGCCCATGTTGACCCTCGAACTGCTGTCGCCATTTTGAAGCTGCGCAAGCCTCGCGGTTATCTCTTCTCCACTTTCGTGCTCTTCGCTCTGATAAAAATATTTAAATGCTCTATTTACTTGATTCCGATTGACTAAAATGGACTGTTGCGAAAAAAACCATCCCGAAATTTTTCGAACAAAATGTCCCCCCCGAGAGCAGGATTGGAAAAATCCTGCGGATTTTTCCTGTCAGGATTAGGTCTGCGAAATCTTAAATTCCTCATTGTTGAAATCCAAAGGACTCGATTCAGCGGTTTCAGTCGTCCTTATCGGTGGTTATGCAGCCGCCGTTGGTCCAGAAAATCGCAGGCGGAGGCTGACGCCGTGGGGAGGATCCTGCATGATCCTGGGCAGTATCACTCCGGCATTTGTTCGTGCAGGCTCTAACACTCGCTTACTAGATCGTGACGCTGCTGCGAAAGTTCTTTTCTAACACTTCGTTCGCTCTGACGGTTGCTGTAGAGTTTATTTAAATGTCAGATACGATTTTTTCCTGGTGAATACGAGCTGGTAAGTTATCGATGGACTGCATGCAGAATTCGTAAAATTGTTCAAAACTGAAAAAAAGCCAAAGGTTAAAGTATGGTTGGCGTTCATAAAACGGTTCAAACCAAAATAAATAAATCCTAGAATTGGCGTCACGAAATATTTAACATGCCGACATGTTCCAGTCATTTTTAATGTATGTGTTCATTATTGAAACGTTGTGTTCGGTGCGGTGTGCGTGCCGATAATTAAATTTGAAAAACTAACGAGACCAGTATCGATGATCTGTCAGGTAATGAAAACAATAGGACTCCTTTTGTTATTAATGGTGGAGTTCACTGAAAACGCGAGATTAACAATTCATGAAATTAACGATGATTAAGCTGGTTGTTCAATTCGAGGCAAATATTTTCACGTCAAAACAAATTGTCATTTCCAAGCTGTTAACAATTAGAAATAATATACAAACCTTTCAAACTATATTTTGAATTGTAAAATATAGATTGAACTCTGTGAGTTATTACACAGATTAAGTGAAAAAAATGAGATTGAAGTCTAATTATAGGCCAAAAAGTAAATAACTCCGACAAATTAATTTTACGCATCCTATCAAGCCCAATGTAGCGTAACTTTCGAATCGATCCCCGTATACTCACAGATGACGTAAATGAGAATATGTTACTAACAGGCTCATATTCCTGAAATGCCAAACTGACTAACAACAGCTAATTGAATACCGATCAAATCGTTACAACACCAGAGCGGAAGAAAAATTTTCCAATAAAATACGGACTCACTTTGGCAAAAAATTGCGATTGCTGTTTGCAAAGCAGCTCGAGCTGGCTATATTTCTCCGGAAAAAATAAATTTAAAAATTTTAGTTAGGTTCAATTTAATTAAAAAGTCGAGACATCGAAATTTGTTTAAACGATAAGTCTACTCTTTGGCGAATTTTGCAAAGGAGGCTGACAACTGATGAGTACAAAGTTAAATTTTAAATATCAAGTGGAAAATTCTGCGCTGCCTACAGCAAAATAAAACAAAAATTTAAGTTTTATAAAATTGTTTAAATACGTCGGGCGATTTTTCGACGGGGCTGCGTTTTAATTACGAACTTGGGAACTTTTAGTCCCTGTTTAAATTCTTAATTAACTTTTCTAGTACCAAAATTACATGAATACCAGTTTACATTTTTACTAATTGTTTTGTTCCTTAATTGTTATAAGGCGTTGTCACATTTTTTGGCGTTTTTTTGCATTTTGACATGGGGGCAAGATATGTACCGTTCAGGATGTTTTTAGATAGCAAATTAGTAATTTGGGTGGCAACCAATTTCGTATATGGAAAGATCCCTAATGAAAAATGAAATTTATCATATTAGGTTACGCTGTTTCTAATGTAAGGTTAGAAAATTTGACACTGTTCCCAGTAATTTCATATTCCAATAGGTACGATTCAAAGGACTGAAGTAAACAATTATTACTTTGGAAAAGCTCAAAAATGCTTTTCTGTGGAAATAATCACAATAAATGCTTAAAAATAGATGAAGCCGATGTCAAGATCTTGAGTAAATATGTTTTGAGTGTCTTATCTTGGAAGGAACCTCAAAAATAGATACTCTGAAAGAATCTGTTCAAAAATGTCTAACTTTTATTGAGAAACAAAATGACCTTAATTTAAATTCTAACCAAGCGCAACGTACGTCATTCTCTGGAAATGTACAAAAAAGTGACTCTTCTTGTGCTAGTATTGTTGGTAATAAAAATCATCAGTGATTTTTCAACTCAAGGATAACAAACCAGTCTGTAGCTGTTACAAAAAAGATGTCGATCCGGTAAAGTCTAATATTGAAATTTCCTGTCAAGGGTGGTCGACATGTAACACTGCTGACTCTGACAAAATAAAAAATTTGATTCCACAGAATTCATCTGACTATAATGTAAAAAATTTACCAACTTTGAATCCTTTTAGAAATCATGACAAATTGATGCAAGCTGTTAAACATTGTTCCTTTTGACGTTCCCGTTGTTTGGGAATATGATTTACTGAAAATTATGGTTACACTTCCAAATAAGTTTATTTTTGGTGATGACTTAGTTCCTTCATTTTTTTGGACGTGACTGTAGATTTGTACTTGCTAAGCCATTGTCAGTTTTATTTAATTTGGCTGTCAGTAATATCTTCCCAGTGTAAAGTGGTTTTTATGATAGATGCATTGTGTCGAAGTTGATGATGGGGACATTGGAGTAAATCCCTAGCCGACGTCGGGCAGTATCTAGATATGTACTTGTATCTAAATAAAGTATCTAGATACATTTTTGGTAATTTGGTAAGAGGTCCACTAATAGTGTTCTGTCACGGAAATTTTCATATTTTAAATACCATCATTTCCTACATTGTAGCCTTCAGTAGTTATACATCTTTAAATATAATCCTGAGGGGTAATAAATCTAAACCATGGTAAGATGATATTTTAAAAACCATAAACCACAATTCACTATTCACTGCGTTTTACGCTTGTCGGGGCAATGCATTTTATCTGTGTCCCTGAGCAGCCCGGGTCCGGTAGGCCCGCTGGTTGTATTTGTGTTATTAAATAAGAGTAATTTTAATAGTAAAAATATTTGTTTAAGACATGTTATTATTTTCAGAAAATAATAATTGCGTGTTACATAATGATTAGTTTTTTCAATTAGCACAAATTAGTTTTGTAATCGACTAATCGAATTTTCAATACATACATTTCTCTCGCATAAATCGCATATTTGTTACTGTTTTATATCTTTATTTTTCAGACAAATGTAGCATCTTTTCCTGTTGCCACATGTGTCACTTCTTCACTTTTTCATTGTTGGACCTAACGCGAGGCGGGCTTGACAGGTCCGTTTTGCCCTAGAATGTGCCGATTATGTTTAAGTGTAAATCTTGGGCAATAAAATTAATATAATCAAACACAATTTGGACACTGTAGTATGGTAATAAAAACAAAAAAAATATTCTTTTTAAGCGCACGTAATAAATATTGCACAATTTGCGACACATCAAACAGCCAAGCGATGGCCTATTTGCAGGAAAAAAGAAAAGATGTTTCAGTCTTGAATAACTATGCTACAGTAAAATGTTTATTTTTTAAATTTAATACCCCAATCCCTTCTTCTGCAGCTGTGACTCGGGTGTTTAGTAGCGGAAACCAAATTCTGACACCAAGAAGAAATAATTTAGGTGACAATAAGTTCGAAATGTTGTTAATTTTAAAAAAATCATTAAACAATACATAAAAAAATACATAAACATAGTTTCAGTTATTTTATTTGCCAAAGCTTCAAAAAGTATCTGTTTTCTTGTATCTGTTATCTAGATACATTTCGAAAAAATCGAAAATAATCTGTATCTAGATACTTTTATCTTCCATATGGCTATATCTGTATCTAGATATTTTTAAAAGTATCTGTCCCCAACACTGCCCCTAGCCATAAATAAGAAAGTGGTCGGTTTCTTGCAGGGCCATACTTTGTTATTCAACTCATATTGTCCGTCGTGGGGTAATAATGAGGTGATAATGTGTATTATCTTGTAATAAAAACCACTTTAAACTGGGAGTACAATACTAGTATATTTCCAAATAAATGGAAACGTACTCGTATTTCTCCTATATTTAAAAACGGGGACAAATCGTGTATATATAATTATAGGCCTATACCTATTTTGCCTAACTTCGCCAAAGTTTTTGAGTTATTTCTCTACCGTGTTATTTATAAATTATAATAATGCCAAAACATGTTCAAATTTAGCAACAATCGCACAATACTTATCTCAGAAAATCGATAACGCTTTGAACTTAATATAGTCTTATTTAAAAATAGAGTATGTTATGTTTATATAACGGATATACTTCAAAAGAATTTTTAGCTACTTCAGGTATACCACAAGGTTCCACTTGAGTCCTTTGTTATTTATACTTTTTATTAATGATCTTCTCTCTTCACTATCCTGTCCTGTTTTATTACTATTATTATTATTATTATTGATTAGTTGATCAACAGGCGTTTAGCCCGTTTATAGATTAACATAATAGAACAAACAGAATGGAAAAATACAAGAAAAAGTACAATTTAAACAGTTGTCCGACTAATCACCAGCTATATTACTGCTACCCCCTAAAGGGATTGGAAAACTGAAGTTCAATCTTATCTGAATAAATCAAAAGCGTCTTACACTTATAAGCTTCCGAAGCTAGGTTACCAGTATGATCAGCGAACGTTAATTTGTAGTCAAAAGTAATCCCTAGGTCGCAAAAGGACTCAACTTTTGACAACGGCGAGGAGTTAATTGTGTAATCGTACATTATTCTATGATTTTTGTTCGTTATTGACATGATACGACATTTGTCAAAGTTTTTACTGGCAAGTAGTTAGATGTACTCCAAGTAAGCTATCAATGTCCTTTTGTAATTCAGCACAGTCACTTATGTTAGAAACGCGTTTGAAAATCTTCAGGTCATCAGCATATATCAATACCTCAAAATTTAAGTTCTTACGCGGAATTTACCAGATTCAAATTCATGGTATTTAACGCACTGAAATCTAGATGACAAATACGATTGAACTAATTTTACTAAGCGACGAGATACACCGTAATTATGAAGCTTCAGCAGAATGTCATGGTTAAGCTTGTCAAACGCTTTGGCAAAATCTGTGAAGATTACCTCAAATTGTTCCGTATTGTCGAAACTATTCGAAACATACTAAGTGCAACAACATAAATTTGTTACCGTAGAACGACCACTGAAAAATCCGTGTTGTGATTCCGATATGTAGTTATGTTAAATGCGAGAATTCTATGTAAGATATTCAAAAACCTTTGGGAAATTGCATAGTAGTGAGATGGGTCGACAATTATCAATTCGGTCTCTTCTAACTTTTTTGAAAATAGGCTCGATAATTGACAGTTTCCAAACATCGGGAAAAGTTCCTTTGTTTAATATTAAATTAGATTGTTAGAGGATAGGTAAAAATGTGGGCACA